TTCACTTTTTCGCCATATTTACGAAAATGACACTGGGCATCCCCAGTGCACACTGAGAGTATCCCATGGCTGTCAGGGGGTTTGTCAAGGTCCCAACCCTGTAACAAACCTCCCCCACTTAAGAATTTCAACGTCCTCGTTGAAGTAATCACAAAGTGTCACAAGTCTCTACCTGTAACTTAGCATGTTGGCCCCGACCAACCCGAATGTTGAATATAACACTGCAACAACTCCACTGCTGCACTTGAATAATGCCATAAACCCCAACCTCCGCATCGATCCATGACATATTATACCATAGATTCTGAACATCTTTGGATTCTGTCCTCACAACCAGTAACTCAAATTAGAAACACAAATAAAGAGGGAATTCACTATTACTAACCTTGGCAATAATTCCGTGAGCATCTCTGCATAGCCTTCCCCGAAGCCACGTGTCCACCTGCACCTATCATGACTGTATGACAAGAAGATTGACCCAAACACTACCCTCATCCGAGTCGGAATCTCCTCCATTGGTTTTTTGGATGAAATGCACCATTGGAACAGAATTGCTAAAATATGGCATTTTCACACTGTAGCTCCTCTCAAAATATAGATTTGGCATGCAAAAATAGTATTTTGCATTAGAGATGGTCTTGGAGACATATTTTGAAAACATTATTTATTCCACGTTCGGTTGCATGAAATTGGTATCTTGAATTCTCCAATTCCAAGTAACCGAAATTTAATATTTTCCACTGCCTAAACATTTTTTTATGATTCGTAGATTTACAAAGAGAAGAAAAGAAAAAGAAAGAAAGAAGAAAAATCGTACATATCTATGTTTAGTAATGTCCCACGCGTGTATGATACTGCCATGACACTCTTGGAGAACACTTTTTTTATTACACTCTATTTCCAAGCTGTCAAATTACAAAATCTTGTAAAATCATTCCCTTAGCCTTCCAAATTTATCCTTTTTCTGGTAATTTTTTTTTCTTTGCCAAGAAACTTACACACCCATTTATCTCGATGGAGATATTAACTCTTACCAATTATTTTTGAGGCAGACGAGATACCACTAAATTACCTTGTATATTTTCTCGTAAATTACTTCACGATTTAATAGTTTAAATATTAGAAGAATCATAAGAGAGAAATGAATATGCTCCATCCCAAATTACAAGTAGGTTAACATTAACTAAAACGACGAAAGAGAGAAAAAAAATGATATCCTATTTTAGTCATCAGACTAAGGTTACTACCCTTTTAGACGATTGTACAATAAATGGCAATTCAAGCAAACATTCACGTTTGATATTACATATATGAGTGTGTGTGTGTGTGAGACAGTGACTCGCCAACCAAACCTCATCAATCTTATCTTAGGAGGAGTCATCTTAAATCTTAGATAACCACTAACAAGTAACACACACAACAATTTAGCTCATTGACATTGCTGTTGGGGATAACTAACTTCCTCCAACTCACTCAACGGTTGGCTATTGTTGAGAGTTAAATCCCTCATTTTTCACACACAGCGGAAGCATCATTACATCACATTAAACAAGCATATATGGAGATAACAATCACACACACCCACGCACAACATAATATTTTACATGATTCACCCAACTCTAGGGTTACGTGCATGGGAGAGAGAGATTTCACTATTATGAATCAAGTAAGAAGATATACAACCACATGTCAAAACCCCACTCACTCACTCATCATCTATTTTGAGGCTACATGTATACACTCGGGAATTACATATATGTTCCCCTCTCCTCACAACACTCACCCTTAAACCCCTTATATTTCTTATCTTTTACTCTCTTTCTTTCTAAACCTCTCATACCCATATCTATTTATAGAGTCTTCAAATCTAATTCCTTGTTAGACAAGTATTCCTCAAATTTAATTCCTTGTTGGACAAGGATCAACTTACTTACAAAGAGTTACCATATCCATCTTCAACTCTAAAATAACAGGTATAACTTCTTTCCCAAATCTTTAGCCTTTTTCCCCAAGTCTTCTGGATTCCAAAACCCACCAGGAAACTATTTCTCGCAGCTTCCAAAACGAAAAAGAAAACTAATTTTCTGCGCACAAATTTTGAGCCATAAACCCAACAGTCTCCACCTTGGCTCAAAATTCAATCTTCACGTGCTTCTCCAAAGCTCCACTTTGAACAAGGATCTCTTCATAGCTCCACCTCAACTGAAGATTTTTCCACTTCAAATAAAATACTATGATGAACTTGAGAAACACCCTAACAATTGCAAGTTAGAAGATAAGTGTTTTTTTTTTTTAAAAAAAAAAAAAAAAATCCAATTGATAATTGGTGACATGCTCTATTAGGGATGACAAAATGTACAGCCTTGTGTCGGAGTAAGGTGTGAAAATTTTAATGAGTAGGTGGGGGTATATAAAAGACTTTTGGAATCGGTACGAATTGAACTAAACATATCTTTCACAATTCGATTCACTTTTATGCGTCAACGATTCTGGTTTTGAACGAATGCTTGACGGAGCAATGCTGTGTGAAAGTAGAAGGCCCATGGGTTGTGAACTTTTTTTTCCAAGAAAAAGCAATGACTGTATGTGAGGAATAAGCGTCGGCTAACTCTGTGCCAGCAGTCAAGGTATTATAGAGGATGCAAGCGTTATTCGAAATGATTGGAGGTAAATCGTCTATAGGTAGCTTTTTAAATTCAACTCCAAATTAATCTGAAACGATCGAATCGTACCCTTATTAACAAGGATGGGGATTAGGGATGAAGAAGGTGCCTGTCCCGAACTCACCTGGTTGACAAACCTCTCGCCCTAGCCTCCATGCAATCTCCAATTTACAATTAGGTTACCAACTTTCCATTAACTAAAATATTAGATCTATGTGACAGTGACACGTCAACCAAACCTCATCAAGCTTATCTTAGGCGGCGGCCTTGTCACGTAGAATCTTAGATATAAAATACTAGCAAAAACAAGCTAGACTCGGCAATTTGGCTCCTAATTACAATGACATTGATGCCTCCTTGCTGACAAAAACTACTACAGATATTGTCTATTAATTGTCTCTCTCAATCTGCAATATTTATTTGTATACAGACTTCTAATAAGCTGGTTTAATTAATTATGTATAATTGTTGGATGACAATTTTTATTTATTTATTTATTTGTGTATGTGTTAGGCTGCTTGTTGAAGGCATATATCATGACACCTCATACAAATTAACATTCCAAGAGATTAGATTACAAGAAAGCCTGAGCAAACAAGACGACTTTTGTCACATTTTTTTGGACTTTCACCTACCCAAAGCCGGCTATATTTGCTAATATATACATGTATATATGTGTGTGTGTGTGTGAGAGAGAGAGAGAGAGAGAGAGTAATGAAGAAGATTCTATGCCGTACGACGGCTATAAGACAATAAGAAAAACAATAATCCATCTCTGTGCGCGGTGGCACAGTGTCGATTTGGTTAAAGACTTGTAAAATTAACGGTATTGATATAACTAACTTGAGATAATAGTGATAAGGTCTAATTATATAATAATTAGTCATATGGGTTTCTTAATTTTGGAAAAGATGGAAAATTAAACCCCTAATTTCAAGAATGTGTTGACAAATGGTTAGAGTGCAAGTAGATATATATTATATATATAGAAATATATGGCATATGGGTGAGCACAGTACCCAAGCTTTTGAGCAAGTCGACCATATTATTGAAGGTATTCTTTTTAATTCATTAAAGAAACACAATAAGTAATTATTAACCAACAAGAAACATTTAGTGTGTATATATGTCATATTCTATTTAATTAAAATGATACTTTTCTTGTTCAATAATAATTGTTACTTGTGATAAATACTTTACGTATAATTAAAAAAAAAAAAGAAAAAAAAAAAGCAAACTCAATATCTAAGATTTCTGTCATTGTGGGTTGGAGAGTCTTCACATTAAAAGACTATTGTCTTGAACTTGTGACTAAGCCATTGAAGGCCTAGGGGGCATGTGCCCATTGTCAGACCCCTCTATAATATGTGGTAATTTTTTTTTTTTTTTTTTTTAAATGTATGAAAAATGAGTAATGATAGAGAACCGAAAAAGAATTTCCTAATTAACACTGAATTTGATATGGTTAGCTATACTTATCTCCTGTTAAATAATTATCTTTTAAAAACTGTTTAAGTAGATGAGATGGATAAAAACACGTCATATTCGGGACTTATTCGGGAAATCATTAGGTGACTCTATCATTTTCATGAAGAATTTCACGCAGTGCCTCTTAAATTTTGTGGTTTCTAAAATTATCTCTTTATTTTCTCTTTTATTCTTCAAATTTCTTACATTTCCCTAACTTTTAAAATTCTCTTAATTTTATTTTTTTAATTTCCATTCCTTAAAATTCTTCTTTTTAACATGCATGTTTGAATAATTCTCTTATTCTTCTTCTTCTTTTATATTTTATATTTTTTATGTTATGCATATATATATTTTGCACCGTGTCCTTGATCACTTGAAATCCTGATTCCGACCCTGCTATTACAAATACATATAAATAAAATTTTGAATACGAGACAAAGTAGTCAATAATAACCTCTTTTTTCTTTTAGAATTGTGATAAATTATTTATGTATTATTTATATATGGTTAGTGGGACAGAACCATCATCCAAATAATTAGATAAACATTGCATACTTTTGTTGTTCAAGCCTAGTATTAATGTATTATCTTTTATCTATAAATTATATGAAAAAAAAAGAAAATGATGGCATTTGGTTTGGTATCCATTGTTGGAAGTCAAAAAAAACCCATTGACGTGTTGTGTATGCTTCCAATTTTCTTATAAGACAAAAGTAGTGGGAAATACACGCATACGAACATCACAAGACTCACCAAACCCCAAAGGCCCAAAAAGTCTTCATATTATTGTCTTCAAATTATTCACTTGCCTCAACTTTCTCTTCACACAATAAAGAAGAATAGACCATAAAGGTCATACACACACACATGGAAGGTCTCATCCCTATAATTTTCAGGACAATCAAGAGAACCAAGACTCGCCGGAGCTACGAGTGTCTCTCCTCCGGCACGGCTCAGAGCTACAACATCGCCGACTTCTACGACACGGGCACTCATGGCCACATGTACGTGGCCCCTCCACCGGAGAAGATGGCGAGCTTCCATGCAGAAGGTAATGGTGGTACTCACCGGAGACACAAGTCCCTCGGCGATGGGCTCTCGCCGGAGCATATGGTCAAGTCCAAGCAAATGGTGCGGTTTAGGAGCCACAGAATGTTCTCGTGTGTCACTGGTGCCTAAAACTCTCATCTCTCTAGCTCCTTTGGTATTTGTTTGATGAAAATGTCAATTCACACCAAATGTGTCATCTTTCATTTTTTTTGCTAGCTTTATGTAAAATCATGCTTGTTTTTTTTTTTTTCAATTTCTTATATATATATATATGGAAAAGAGCTTGATGTTTGTTGTATGTATTTATAGGAGTAATAGGACTATTAATGCATAATTACGAGGTGATTAATTTGAAGAAATTGATTGATTGATCTCCCAAACCAAATATGGATATCATTGATTGATGTTTCATCAATAATATTAGTGGGTCCCACCACAGGGAATCCATTGCGTTAGTGAATTCATTAATTATTCCAACATTTGGCTGTTCCAGTTTCTGCATTTTTGTGTTCAAGATTAAGCTCTACTCAACTCAAATTTAACCGAGCTTATAGCGGAACTAATGAACATTAGTTTAGATGACATGAAATGTTGAGTGTTCGAGTTTTATTTGGAATAATATTGTGAGTTTGTGTCTGTTTACTAGAACTTTTGAGAAGAAGAACAAAAAAATAATAATAATAATAATAATAATAATAAATGAGCTCATTGAGGAAGCTATGAGCAACTTTCTATTTTAGATCACATTGAAGCAAAAAAAATGAATATATATATATATATATATATATATATATATATATTTTGGAGTGTAATCGGGATCATACCACCTGTATAAAATTGTAGAAGATGTTTTGTGGTGAAACTTTTGGTTAGTGTTGAAGGTATTTGAAATTCTATGTATCAGAGTCTCAAATTCAAGAGGTTGGTTCACTTCGAGGACTTATTTTTTATTTTTAATGTAATTTGGGTTGATGCCTTTTGGAGTTAGAATGACTTGTAAACTAATCCAACCAAATTACTTGACGGCAAGAATTTGATTCTGCAAAAGTAATATTATTTGGTCAAACAAAGAGATCAAACAAGTAGATTAATTCAATTTGTCTTCTTCTCTGCAAATTCAACAACCGAAGAACAAGTCTAGGGAAGAGCCATTCCATAATGAAAATTTTGAAATGGGTACTCTAATTTAAAACTTAAAATGTTTGTGCAAAGTAACACGATCTGTGCCGTTAAAAACTATTTAAGTTTCTTTTATTTCTATATAAAATAATATTTTCGGCGTTTGAAAGAGATTTAGATCGAAGTTGAAATCGAATTCATGTACGTGTAAAATAACTTATCGAAAATTGATGGATAAATTATTTTTATTAGGTTTTAATATTTTTTTTCTTCATAAAATAAAGTAAAAAATAAAATTTTTTAGAAAAATATTTTACATTCAAACAAATGGAGCTAGAGTAAAATAAAAAATGTAAACATGACATCTAATAGTGGCCAGTGAAGTTGAAAACGAAGGGAAGCTGTTTGAGGTCTCACACTTATCCTCAAACCCTTTAGCATGGGAAGGAAAATTAAGATTTAAAAGTAATCCTATTTAAAAATCAAAAAAGACTCAAAAATAATTTCAAACTAACATTTATCAATAAAACAAACAAATAAAAAAAAACCATTAACTATTATGTCTTAAATTAACCCCAAACTTAATCTGTGTAGGGAGGGACTTTTACCCAAACTTTGTGGAATGCCGCTTTATCTTTTTACCTTGTCAAGTAACTCACGCACTTTTGCCATTTCGAAAACTTAAATCCTCGATCTTCTAATTTAGAAAGTAAATGAGATACCCCTATACTACGGTCCTTGGTAGTTTTTGGACGACTCTTTGAAATGAAACCCAAAACAAGCAAGAAAAATTTGGGATGAATTACCTAACAGGACCAAGAATAACTACAGCTAGCTTCCAAGTTTCCAAGTTGTTGTAAAAAACTAGGAACCAAAAATTTAAATATTAAGAAGGACAACCATTTTCATAGCCATTCATTGTGGTTGCCGAAAACATACATTCACAGGATCAGCAACTTAAATTCCATTGGTACTAAATATTGAAAATAATTGTAGGGAGATGATAAAAACAAGAACAAGATTACAATATATATATATATTCATCAATCCATACCTCATTTTAGCAAATCCACGCAAGCGAGAGAGAGACGAAAAAGAGTAAGAATGGGTGGAGTTTTCCTCTCTGTCGTTCTGTTGCTCCTGGTGATGGCTCATACCTCTGTTGCTGCCACTGGACATCTGAAGAGCGACCTGCTTTGCAGCCAGTGTTCCAAGTGTGACTCGAGTAAATGTCCCAAGAGCGAGTCCTTACCTCACATGACCGCGTTTGATGACTCTCTCATTGCTGGAGCATTACAATCCGACTACGTTGACTCCAAGGACAGAGGTGTTTATTCTGTACCAAACATTAAAGGCGGGGAGTCTTCAAAATACAATGCTTATTTTGGCTGGGAATCTACTTCTGGTTCAGCTTCTGGCCACCACAGGTAAATCCTTCATGTTTATATACATCTCCTTCCTTCGAGACAAAAATCAACAAGGCACCCATATGTTGGCTGCACCTGCACACAGTGTTATCACTAGTCTAGCCAAACTTCCAATGGAGCATTTTTCCTGTAAAACTGTCAAAAAAGTAGTAACTGTTGGAAGGTCAAATGGTATTTGGAGATGCAGTACTTAATAACACTTTTAAAAAATATCCTCCTTCCATAAATACATTTTTAACCTATAAATTTACCACTACTCACATACACAATTTAGAAAGCACCAAATTTGAGTTCTGGTTAGATTTCTGTTGCGCTAAAATCTCTATCATTTTTATGTCACCAAACACAGCTAAAACTAAATCTCTAAACTAGAAGTGCTTCTATCTTGCCAAACCTCAATGCAACAGGCACGAGACTTGTAGAGTTAAAATATTCCTACTTACATAGAAAAACATGAGTTTGAGAAGCTTTTGTGAGACAGTAAAAGAGCTGGGATGACATTTGAAAAAGAGTACTAGAACAACTGTAATTCTTATAACCTGTCCAAGAAAGTGTACATATATATACACACACACTATGCTACGTCACTACCTATGTCTAGGTTGGAACTGCACACTTTGTCATTCTCTATGGTTAGCCGAGCCTATTGCATTTGCAATTTAACATGCAAAATTAAAAGCTAACACAAAATCTGCCTTATGGATAACAGGTTCAGAAATTACATGGATAAATGCTCGGGAGGACAAAGTTACCTCACTGTCGACAAGCATGGCAAAGTGAGCCTGCGTTCATTGAAGTCGCTGGAAAGTATAGGTGATGCAGACTGGAAATCTATAAATCCACCCCCGAAATATAACCACCGTGAATTCCGATTCTGGGTCTCTCATAGTACTGGAAAATGCCTCACAGTTTTCGGAGGGAAGACAGAGAAAAAAACAGTGGGCGTATCTGAGTGCAAGTTCGATGCCTCCAACCCATACCAGCTATTTGCCTTCCGCTTCCATTACCATAAAGCCTTTTGCTGTTGCAGCGTTTACAATGAGTAATTTCCCCAATATATGCAAAGATAATAGACCAAAATCATAATAAAGGATATTTGTTAGTGATCTGTCATTTATAATTCTCTTGACAGTGTAATGATTTTTTTAAATAAAGGACACTCTTGATGCCATTTGATTCTTCATATAATAATATCACATCCTCTCTTTACCAATCTAGAATCCAAATGCACCAGATTAAAACAATTTTTCCTATCAAGGCAAGAAATGACAGATGAAAAAAGCATAGGTAGTGAGACAATCATAGACCAACCTTATCAGCACTATCAAACCCAAACACTAAGGGTAAAACTGACAAGCTTATCTGAAATGTTATGACGCAATACTGGGCTTTAGCTTGGATCCCCTCCAAACTCTGCATAAGCTCATCAGAGAATGCAAACCCACCTGAGTTTGATCCAATCTCCACATGTATTTCATAGAGTCTAATTATGCTTATATATATGAAAACACACATAATGGCAATAAAAGATGTACATTGACTAATCTAGTGCCTCTGAAGAAGAACAGCAAGTGAATGGAAGCTCCATGTCCATTATAGCAACAGAAGATCTATCTCGGAACAATCATATTTCAATCTCATTTGATGAAACAGATATTGACATCGAGGAGGCAATCCTATCTGCCTTTCTTCAGGCGGCTTTTGACAAGTTCATTTTTCGAGAAGAAAAAAACAAAGGTTCATTTTTCCTGTTCTGAGAGAACTTGGATTTTAGTGGGAGTTCAACAAAGAGCTCAAAAAGCTAGCTAGGCATCATAAAAATCCAGGCTGTGCATAGCAATGCAGAGGAGAGAGAACTTAGAAAATGGCAGACAAAATGTCACTAGAAAACCTTAAGGCTGTCATTTTCAACACCGACTATGAATTGGATTACTTTCCTACTAAAGCACAAATATTTGACACTGTCCAGCCAACGAAAATCAGGTTTGGAGTTGTATCCCTTCTCTAGATCCAAACATCACATCATTCACACTCGGGGTCACATCAAAGGCATAATTTTTAACACTGACCATGAATTGGATAACTTTGCTACCAAATCTCAACTATTGACACTGGGTGTTGCAGATCCAGCCAACACAAATCAGGTTTGGAGTTGTATCCCTTCTCTTGATCCAAACATCACATCATTCACACTCAGGGTCACATCAAAGACATATAATTGTCACTGAAAAATATATATAACACTGCAAAAGAAGGAGCCAGCATCAGTTTAAAAGAGGGATGAGAGAAAATCAGTTTTGAAAGAGGGATTCGCGGAGAGCATGAACAAAATTAAAGAGAGACCACAAATAAGTTCTTTGGTTGATGAATCTTGTGTCTGTGGTTGGGAGGATGACAAGGAGAAAATCTTTTACTTCTATTAGATATAAACAGTTAGAAGAAGGTCGCATTCATTTCTGTAATTGGTGGTGGTACGAGTGAGGGCGCGGGTATGGAAAGATGAGCCCGGCTCAACTTGGCTAATAATGAAAGGGATGCTGGGTATTTTCAGATAAAAGCATGTCTCTGTCGCATTCATTTCTGTAATTGGTGGTGGTACGAGTGATGGCACGGGTCTGGAAAGATAAGCCTGGCTCAACTTGGCTAATAATGAAAGGGATGCTGGGTATTTTCGGATAAAAGCATGTCTCTGCAGTTTTCTGTTGACTTTAGTAAATGAGAAGCTGTATGAGCAAATTTACAAACAGAAAAAAGGAAAGTTCAAAACCAGGACAATGTTGAACCCTTAGATGTTATACTAATAGATTTATTGGATCAAAGAGATATCTGATTGTCTGGAATTATATAAAATGCTGCCAAAAGTGAGGTCTATTTCCAGTCTTCCCCTCCCCACGCCTTACATAGGCGGGGATCAACACTGAGTAATGATATTTTTTGAAAAAAAAAAAAAAAAAATGTTATATATATAGAAGAAGTCAATCTAAAGGAAAAACACCACGTCCAAGAGTTAGACATCGGAAAAATAATGATATAATGCAAACTTGGATGAAAGGATTGAAGTAAGTGTTCTTTAGTACCTGCAACCACATAAGAAACTGAAGAAGCTCATGATCAAATCCTATTGTGGTGGAAAATTTCCAACTTGGATGAAGGGTTGGTTTTTTCCCCAGCCTTGTCCAATTGGCACTCGATAATTGCAGATAATGCGAGCTCCTCCATCACGAGCACAGGTACATTTATTCGAACATCTTACTGTTAAGAAAATTCACCAATAGAGCAAGTGTCATGAATTCAAAGGGGGAAGACATGATCAGAGGATTCCAGCAGTAGAGACACAAAGATTTAAGGACATGATTGAGCTGGAAGAATGGTCTAAAGTAGAGAGGGTGGACTCCTTACCTTCAAAACATTCACATTATCAAAACTGAGAATTTCTTCAATTGATGCCCTAACCTGATTGTGTTGGAAATACAAGAATGCAAATAGTTTCCTGCACTATCAAGGTTTCAGTTACAGGGTGAATAATTCCCTGCCTCTATTGGCCTAGTCCAGAAATTGTACCAAGCTCAGGGAATTTACCTTGACTTCTTCCTGCATTAGACAAAAGCAGAAGCAACATGACTGACGAATTAACAATTCCAAAACTTCCATCACCGTGCAACCTATTATAGGTAAAAACAGCACTTCAAAACATTATTGTCAATCAGAGAGAGAACTCCTGTCTCTATAAGCATAATATATGGAATTGTATCAAGCTATTCAGTTTCCACAGTTCCTTTCACCTTCAGCAAGACTGGATACCCGTAAATGCAAAAGGTTGACAGCAATCTAAAGGCCGCCTTCACCTCATAACTTCCAACCAGGAGAAGGTAAGGGATACTTCTTACAAAAGGAGCTTATATAAAGATGGTGGGATTGTTCCATGTATTTTTTCCTTGGTAAAACTAGAGATAAAGCAATTCCCGGGCATGACTGCTCTTCCCAGCACTCCATCGCTTCACATTTTAGAAATAGATGAATCCATTACCTCAAATCTCTTTCCTTCATGCCTAAATCCAATATTCAGAAGAACAAAGCTCATTTGCCTGCCTGAAAGGCAGTCTTACCTTCTCTACGTGTTGTTAGGATTTCTTCATACCTCCTATCCTAAGAGCTCATTTTCTTACCTAAAAGACTGCAATATCATCCCATATGCTCCCTAGTACCTCCTCTTTCCTCCCTAACATATAGAGCATTAATCCCTATATTTGTCGCACGAAACCATTCAGCATGTCTGTCAGAATGCCTCAGACAGCTAACTCTCCATAGCACCTAGAATTATATTTCTCACTAATAAACACAAAAGGAAGGTTTATCGTTGCACAGAGAGAGAGAGATCCACTTGTCAACATCTTTTAAATTCCCAATTTTAGGTATGTACAAAACACTAAAGAAAAGTCGATAAAATGAATGCATTAATTGAGATTTCCTAAAACAATGTTCCTGCTCAAGTGGATTGAAGTATGGAGGAAGTTAAGATAAAAACTACTGAATCTGCAAGAAACTTACCAGACAAAATATGATTTGGTAATGTAGTTAATCAAAATAGTCCCATTTATCTTACTTATCTCTCATAAATAACAAAGTTATGTAAAAATGAAAATTACTCATATTTCATAGATGTAGCCCTGAAAACTTCATTAAAACGGAATGTTTCAGTGCATCCGTCAGATACAACCATATGGCAAGCACTGCATCAGTAACCCTCCTAACTTTTCATTCTCTGTGCCATGCATATATTGGTACATCTCTCAGTTTATCACTGTCCGTTGTTGACCGGAACAGTTGGAATTGCTTCTTCGCTATTTCCACTGGTATTCAAACAAGTGGGCTTGGATGCTCCATAATAGAAGTATGCCATTATTTTTGAAAACTCATCTGCTGTTCGAATGGCTGACCATCCAGAAGAATCGAATTATAAATCAACATTTAGAACTTAGAAAATAGGTCAATTAATATTTCTTAATTTAAAAATCACCTTTCTCCCGGTATAAGATCTTTCCTGCTTTAGTGAAGATTAACTCTGGGAAGACAGACACTTTTAGAGCAGAGACCAAATCAAGCTCAACAACAGCATCAATTGCAACACACTGTTCAATGTTGCAAATAAAACGTTAAAAAGGGGAGGGGTGCATGTGAAGGTCTAAAACAACAAAATGCTTCACTTACTCTTGGTGAAGGCAGCCTGCAGTTCCATATGATGTGAATGGCTTTCTCCAATTCATTTCGAATCTTTTCATTTTCCTTTGGTCTACAGAGATTTAAATATCTTACATGAAACAAAAGGTATTCAAATCTAAAGCAAAACAAATATTAAGAAACTTCTACTGTTATTCAACACATTTTGACAGCTTGTATTCAACTATAGCAGCTTTCTTCAACTGATATACAGAGATTTCAATTATAAAATCTGAAGAAAGGCAAGTATGAGGTAGAACCATCTCATTGTACTTGCACTTGTCAGTCCTCAAAAGGTGTTACCTCTAGCTTCCCACCAATGCATGCATCATCACTTCTCTTCTAACATAGTCCTTTATCCATATCAGCATTTTTAATACAGATAAGGTGATTCCATTGAAGACGGGCCTTGCCATATCAGCAGTTTTAATACAGATATGGCGATTCCATTGAAGGTAAGCCTCGGCGCAATAGTAAGGTTGCTCCATTTTGACCAGGAGGTCACGGGTTAGAAATGGGAAACAGCTAGAGTGCGGAGATAAGGGTGTGTACATCCTGACACTCCCTAGACCCCACAATGGCAGATGCCTCATGCACTGAGTCTTTATAAGGTGATTCCATTGCATGAGTTTTTCATGACCTCCCAGTGTTCTAGACTTAACTTACATGTATCTTTCCCTTATATGCCAATTACAGACACCACGTTTGGTTTGCTCTGCTTCGAAGAAAATAATCCAAAAGTCTGGTACCAAATACTCGACACGATAGGTTTAAGAGTTGAATGATTCACATAAAAAATTGGAAAAACAAACACACACACAAACATCCTTAAGCCAAAAACATTAGCCATGGACCAGGAATAAATGACAGCCAACTTACAACCAACTATTGGCACCTTTAGACTTTCTAAATCCACAGAGAACCAAATGCATTGGAACTAAATGTGTAACACTGAATATGATTCGGTTTTCCTATTTAAAATGTGTGGCAAGACACTTGCTATGCTAGTTGCAAAAAAGCACATTGTCAATACAATGATATTAAAGCACCACTTAATCAAGTCACCTTTTTGTATCACCAGCAGTAGTTACTTCATCATAGAAAATCTTTTAAGTACTCCAAGATTTTTGGACATCCCACTCATTTGCATTCATAAAAGGTTAGGCATATGGACATTAAAATGCGACACTGAAGGATGCAACACCCCAACTTTCAAATTCATGAAATGTGAATGAATATTTAGTATAGCCTTCGACAAAAAATTCACAACCATAGGTCAAATCTCATTACTTCAAAGTTCAGACTTCAGTGTTCAAATATATATTACAACTAAATCATTTAAGAATCCTGACGCATTTTCACATGGATGTAGATGAGGATGAATTCACCCCCATCAGCTCAGAACATGCAACAGCACACGTCAAATAATCAAGCACCTTGACAAATTATCATCACGCATTTATTGGCTACCAGAATAGCGGATTTCAGGATTCTGTAAAGCTACTCCCTGCATTGCTGCAAGTGCGGAGTCGTACTGCAGAACTGGGTAGTATTTAAGTAATTATTCTCTTGAACTTGGAATGAAGTCTAAGGTGCAGACCTCTTCCAATCTTGTTTTCCATGTGATCCATCAAGCCGTACCTCAAAGATGACAAAATAAGTAATTTCATTTCCAGTTTGAAGTTCAATTCTAGTTGGAATTAGCCTCAACAAGCTAGGTAATCAGAAAAGAAATCCCTTTCTAAAGAAAGAAGAAGCTTACTGAGAAACATCCGTCGTAGAAGATGAATCAAGACATAACACACTCCACAAGTAGAACTCGACTCTATTTCTACGTCTGAACTTGGTGGGATTGGTTTATCATCCTATCTTATACATGCTAATAGCATGTGATCCCCATATTCTATATAAGAATGGCCTATATTACTAAGGACCATGGTACACAACCATTTGCAATCCTAAGAACTTGTTTTAACCTCTTCTATTCTTTTTCTCTCAAAAGCATTGGAATGCTTTTCACAGGTACCACACTAGTAGCAAGGCTTACTAGAAATTAAGCACATGAAGGTAATGTGAAAATGAAGCAAGGATGTACCTCCATAGATATCATGGAAGAATAATGAAACCAGAAGACGTTTGAAGAAATCTATTGCTACCAAGCGTCTACTTAATTCAGATATTAGCACAGTATAAAGTACAGACATAGAGAGGATGGTGAATGGAGAAAGACCTAGACCAGGGAGGAAGGAAAAGGTATTTCCATATGGCTAGAGCTTTGATACCATATTTGTGACATTACTGGAGTCTGGAAGATGGAAGAACAAAGAGATACACAGGCATCAACTGGAAGCAAGACTAAAAAGCAATATTTGCAAACCACGGAGAAAGAAAAAACAAAAAACACAGATGGGAAGCAGTGAGATGAAAGAAAAACTAACAGTTTGTAACAAACAAAAAGAAAAAGTAAACATTGATATCCTCTAATTTTTCAGTCAGGCAGGAGAGTATTTAAAAGAAAATGAAGCAAAGTTGAAAGGAATAAATGAAGCAACATTGAAAGGAATAGATGAAAACTAACCTTTTATATCGATTATGTACAAGGACAATTAAAGGACTAATATCTTTGAATACAGTCTCTTCCCATTCTGCAGTGGTGATGTCTTTGATTGGACGAATATAATTGTCATCTTGCCACACCAATTCATTTTCGCTATCATAATTCTCATCATCATCTTTCTTAACATTCTTAATAGTAATTTTGTCGAAAAATTGACCCAAGTTGAAACCCCGCCCATCAGCATCTTCTGGCCAATCAGGATCCTCCTCCTCCACAACAAGGGGGTAATCGGCCAAAAGTTTTTGCATCATCTTCTTCTTCTCAACGGGATCTAGCTCTTCCTCGATATCAGGGTTCCTATCAACCACTTCCCTAATTTTCCTCCTCCAGTCACGTCTCTCTTCATCGTCCATAAGTAAGGGATCATCACCATCACTACCACTAGATTCTTCTTCCGCTCTCTTCCCGTCCCCAGACTTGAGTTTTTCTGCTGTTCTGGAAGCTCTTGATCTAATTCCTTCAAACCTACCAGCCTATTTTCACAATCCAATCCCATAAAATAGTTTGTAAGAAAAGATATTAAAATCTACAAAATATTTTATCACTAATGCAAATTTAATTTTTCTAGGAAGGACAAAAAACGAAAGAAAAAAAAGAGACACACCAGAGAAGGTGTCTTTAGAAAGTTTGGTGGTGATAGACCAGAACACTCCATCCTTGTGGAAGAAATTGGGGAAATTCTTTGTTTTGCTTTCAGTAGAGGAGTAGCGCCAGCGAATGAAGGAGAAACTTTTACACTTTTCTCTTTTGCCGAAGAGAACAAATACTCGAAATATGGTGCATGTTGTAGAGCCATACCTATAAAATCAGTTACACAGCTAACTATAAGCAGCAGTTATATTTTCAAAATAAAAGAACTAGAAAGACAACACATAGATCAAACCCTTTTTAAAACTATTAAGTGGTTTGTAAACTTTCAACCATGCCACAAATTGTCATGAAATAGAAAAGACGAGCATACATACAATTGGTTTTCAAGAAGTTGTTTGAGAAGCATTTGCTGCTCAAACAAACAGGGGAAAAGGAAGATTTGAAACATAATCCATTTCCTACAAATATATAGGACCTCATTTCCACACATATTTTCAAATCAGATTGTATTTACAAGATTTAATGATTCATTTGGAAACAAAGGCAGTAAAATGCGACTTCAAATGCAAACCTTAATGGATACTAGTATCATGTTAAAAAAAACTTCTCTCTCTTGTTATTATTATTTTCCGCTTAACTTGGAATGAAAAGCACATAGTAAATGCTCCAATGGAGTATATAATTCAAAAACGACACTGCTTCGAATATTTGACCTAAAATTTAACCCCACACCCGATACAAGTATAATTTGAATGCTTATAATTACAAGCCATTTCACTTATCAATAATAATAATCATAATAATTTCAAGCCATTTCTGGTGCAAACAAGTGCTTCTCAGTAATTAATTGACACATCTAAATTTCAAGTGATGCCAGAACAATGCAATTGGAGATGATACAGGAAATGGGTATTCTCCATCACTATAGCTGCAATAAAAATTGGTATAAAAGGCATGATTTTCAAGCGAGATAACACAAAATATTGTTCAACTGTACAAACCCATAACTAAGAACACCAACCCCACTAATTCACGCAATTTTACAATCAAATATGCATATTTTTTTCCGGCAAATATCCAATATATATATATATATACTTTTCTCTACAAGTAAATTACATGATGAAATTTCAAAAAGAAAGAAAAATTCCAAACAGTGGAAAAAGGCAAAGGCGCATACAAACCAGAAAGACGTGAATTGACTATTGAAGTTTGATAATCCAGCCGGTGAGGTTTGTATCTCCTCTTTTTCTTCTTCTTCTTCTTCTTCTTTTCTTGCTTAGGCTTAAACCCGAGAAACCCAGAACCCCAGAAAATTTCAGGGATAAGGGTAGACCAAACAGTCTCGTTTTGGTGATGCTGCGTCGTTTTGGTGGGTACATAAAATTTGAGTAGCCATGTTAAAATCCTCCAATTTTTTATTTATTTATTTTTAACACAAATTCCCTTGTGCTCCAAAAAATTATTCCATGGACTACATGACCCGTCTAATAGCATAGGGAAAATTCAATAAATCTAAAATATTTACCTGTGTGGTAATATTTGATTGACCTATATAATGTAGTAGCACTTAATCATGTAATGATTTTTAAAAAAACTTATTTTTATTATATTATCATTATTATTTAAAACAATAATATATATACGTTTCTTGCATTGCTCATCCTTTCCAGTGATAAGTAGGTAAACAATATGTTTCTTTCTTTCTCGAAAGGTGCGATACCCCTCGGATCCGAGACACGGGTTGATCAGGCCCAGACCCAAACCCGAGGGATATAAAACAATTAATATGTACGAACAACGAATACAAGTTGAAATATAATTAAGTAAAAATGACTGAAATGAATTCTAATGAAAATTCTCAAAATATAATTATTAAGAACCAAACTCCAAAACCTTCAATTATTTTACGACTCGGGAATCCATCTAGTGGATCCCTGATAACAAATCCCAACATAAATAAAGTAGCTGAAATCAAACAAAGCTAATAAGGAAGCAGTCCTACGTAGTCGGTGGAAAAGAAGTCTGTATTTGCTCTGCACGATCAAACTCTAACCCTAGAGCTGACGAGCACTTGAAAAATAAAAGAGTGGGTCAGACCCACATGCAAGTCCTGATCTACTAATATCCAAACAGGAATCTGATGCGCAAATACATTCTAGATAGACTCAACAATATCTAGAGTAGTCCATATATGTATAAATACACACTATAGGACGCTCACTAGTCCAATAGGTCTGTCTCAGCCTGAGTAGAGATACCATGCAAATCGCACGTAAAGTGGTCATGAGTACCTAGACCTACTAGGGAATAACACCTATGTCCAGTTATCCATCCTAGGCGATATACGCGCCCTAACCGTGGTCCTGAGACTCAAGCTCATACCATGGTACCATATCATATATATATATATATAAAGTCCGTGTCCTCTTAATACAAAATATCACCCATCTAGTATAAAGGTTTGATATATGTATAACAATCCATCCCAGAAACCAAAATTATGTCATTCAGTTATTTACTGACCTGACACTAATAAGAGTTGGACTTAACCTTTACGGTTAATCCACACCTTAATCCACTTTAGGTAGGACTTAGTATTTGAACTAATCCATCCCTAGTATGCCACCGTCCCATACCAGTGCATACAGTCTTTCAATCTACATAATTTGATAAAAATAACATTAATTAATTGGGATAATTTCACTGACACCTCAAGTAGTTTGGTCAAATATCAGTCTAAAATATCTTTCGAAAATAACTATCAGTTAGGTCCACTTTTGCTTTTCCGTCACAGTCTCCGTTAAAAGCATGGGAAAAGACAAATTTGCCCCTTTTTTTTAAATAACATTTAATTCAAAATATTAGATTAGTTAAAAGACAATTATACCCCCGACAATTATACCACAAATAAAATCCGTAACTTCATCATCTTTCCGACGAAGAAGACATCTAAATGAGGACATTAGTCAGCTTTGGTGCCGGAGGCGACGAAGACGACGAGGGCTTGGAGGTTTCTCTGTAAACCCTTCCCATACCCCTACACAATCAACGAATCTAACGTTTTAAATTTTCCAGAATTGTCCACACCAATTTGGTATTACGATTGGATGGCGCTTGGAATTGAATGAATCGAATGAAAAAAAAATGTCTAAGGGAAATTGAAGGAATTGGACTGGTTTGGACTTCGAATTAGGGCTTTGAGTGATGCTTTATCTGAGAAACGAAATGGCCGCCGTTCAGAGAAAATCAAAGGTTCCTGTTAAAGAAGCTTCTGCAAATTCTGGAAGATGAAGCTTCAATGTGTTTGATTGAAACTAATTCTGGAAGTTGAAGCTTCAGGGTTACTGTTAACAAAGTTTCAATGTGTTTGATTGCCCCTATTATTATTTTTTTCACTAATTGAACCTAATTTCACAAAACAAAGTCAGCGGCTGTGATGGCATCTTCCTGTTTTAATTTTGGTGGTTGGGTTATAGAATCGGTGGTTGTGGTGGTGGTAGGGAGAGAGAGGAACGGTGATGGTGGTGGTGGTGGTTGTGGTGGCGGAGAAAGACTGGTCTGGGAGGTATAGGGTGAGGGAGGCGACGATATATATATATATATATATATATATATATATATATATATGTAGACCCAATTGGCAATTGTAGAGGTCGATTCGGGTTTCGACGGTAACCGAAAGAGACGGAGGCGAGAAGACTTTTGGGTTGTGGCGGCTGGATTGGCTGCTGAGAAGGGTTTTGGAAAGACGGTTGGTGAGGTCGGAGAGGGTGGTTTGGTGCTCAGCCATCACGATTCGGCTGTCACCGCCGCTGTCTCTTATGCCGACATCCTCGCCGGTGTCGATGGTGGTGTTGTGCTTGTGTGTGTGTGTATATATATATACATATATGTCTCTGTGTGTATATATAGGAGTATATATATATATATATATATATATATATATATATATATATGTCTCTGTGTATGTATGGAGTATATATATATGTCTCAGTTTGTGTATATAGGGGTATATATATGTCTGCTTGTATATATAGTATAATTTGTAAATTTACAAATTTTTAAAGGGCCATATTGTCTTTTAACAATGATATTTTGGAAAAAAAAATAAATTTAAAAAATGAGGGTGGACCAAAGTCAAGGGTCAAACTAAAGTCAAAGGGTAAGAATGTCTTTTTACATGTAAAAAGTGGTCTGACGCACCTGTAAACTAACTTTTGGGGTGTGAGTGAAAAACGGAGCAAACGATTGCAATGTGAGTGATAGTTATTTTCGAAAGATGTTTTAGACTGATATTTGGCCAAACTACTGGGGGTGTCAGTGAAATTATCCCTAATTAATTTATCAACAGTTCCCCAAAATATGCATCAGTACAGTTTAATACATATATAATGACATTAGGTATTCACTAGAGAACCTAGAAATCATGCTCCAATTATTTAGACTGCTAAAATAAATCATAGCGTTCACATCCTCCAAAACAAACGATAAATCGATACAATTATAACAATTTGGGTATCAATTAAATCCAAAACTAAGTATAGTTATATATAATTAATTCACTATACTTATTAACAACACAGTTTCAGTAAACGAGATTAAATACATACAATTATAACAATTTGAGTATCAATTAAATCCAAAACTAAGTATAGTTATATATAATTAATTCACCATACTTATTAACAACACAGTTCAGTAAACGAGATTAAATACATACACTTATAACAATTTGAGTATCAATTAAATCCAAAACTAAGTATAGTTATATATAATTAATTCACCATACTTATTAACAACACAGTTTTAGTAAATGGGATTAAATACATATCAGACATGCATAACAGAGTATTTAATCCTTCATTGAATCCCTGGAGTCCACCTAAGTATGCACAGAACACAGATTCATGGGAAAGAATAGAACATAAACTTGCCTTTGAGACTTTGGATTAAAATCTCTAACTGTCGTCTCTATCAACTCCGGCAACGTCGGTTGTATTAAACGACCTTTGCTGCTTCTAGTTCAGTCCAGTAGCACACACCAAACTCCGCTCCTTGATTCAGTCTTAGCTTAAGCCCAAACCCTAGTCTTCCTCTCTTTATATCCCTCTGTAATTCTCTATATCTCCCGGTCTCTCTGTTTTACAGAATTTGGCTTATTTTTCTAAAACCCTTAACCACCATATTGCTTGTATTTATAGGTGAAAAACGATAACCCTAACCCATGTAATATTAGAGACTGAGCCCTAATTCCAATCCTAGCCGGCCCATGAAACTATCTAAGTTGTAACATACGGTGACTTACTATACAAACCTTCTTAGAGAACCCTACTGTTTAATTAAACCCCTGTTAACAAGTAGTTTAATACATTAAACATTGTTACGAATTTAATCTAATTACATAAATAAATCTCTTAACATAATTAGTTAAACTAATACACCCAAAATTAATACTCACTAACGTAAATCAATTAATGCAATCTAACACATATTTAAACCATTAAAACAAACAAATGAATCTAATTTAATACATTAAACATTGTTACTAATTTAATCTAATTACATAAATAAATCTCTTAACGTAATTAGTTAAACTAATACACCCAAAATTAATACTCACTAACTTAAATCAATTAATGCAATTTAATACATATTTAAACCATTAAAACAAATAAATGAATCTAATTTAATACATTAAACATTGTTACTAATTTAATCTAATTACATAAATAAATCTCGTAATTAGTTAAACTAATACACCCAAAATTAATACTCATTAACGTAAATCAATTAATGCAATCTAACACGTATTTAAACCATTAAAACAAATAAATGAAATTTAAACACCCAATTAAATAATTAAATCAAATAATTAATTATCAAACCATTAAAACAAATAAATGAAATTTAAACACCCAATTAAATAATTAAATCAAATAATTAATTATTAAAACAACGAAACAATTACCAAATAAGCAAAAAGCCACACAACAATATAACGAAACAAAAAGTAAAATGCCGAGACTATCATTTTTAAAATTAGGGGTATTACAAAAGGCATTAAGAAGTTCTTACCAAAGTTTTTCTTCAATCAATTGTAATTATTTTTTTAAATTTTGCTTTGTACTTTATTGGATCGTAAATGTTCTTCCATTTTTTCGATTTTTAATTTTTCTTATAATAATTCAATATATTTTTGTTTTTGTTAAAATTTGGTTAGGCACTGGTTCTTTAAATATTGCTAAATTTTTTTATTGAATTTATATTTCTTTGTAAAAATAATAAAATAATTAACAAATTTTAGTTTGTTCCGACGTAAAAATATGTTCATTAGAAAATATTTTCATTTTTAGATAAAATATTTTATTTTTATTTTCATTTTTTGATGTTTGATAAATGTTTAGGTTAATTCTATCAAGTTGGACGTGTAAATTAACTTAGCAAAAGTTGATGTGTAAGTTTTTTTTTAATTTTTTTTTTTTTAAAATATTTTTACTTCATAAATATTTTACTTAAATTTTTGACAACCAAATACCAAAAAAAATATAAAATAAGAAACAGGTCAGTGACTTAACTGTATTATCCTCTTATTTTCCAAAAAAAAAAAGATTTTTTTTTATAAATATTTTACTTAAATTTTTGACAACCAAATACCAAAAAAAATATAAAATAACCAACAGGCCAGCAGCCTAACTGTATGTAGGGATGGCAATTTTTACCGCCCCGTCGGGGCTCCGCCCCGTCCCGCCCCGTTAATAACAGGATATGGAAACAAATTTTATACCGTCGGGGCGGGTATGGATACATTTTGTGTACCTGCCGCGGGTCACGGGGCGGGGACGGGTTCTGATTCATATCCGCTCCGCCCCGCCCCGTTATATATAATTCTTTAAATTTTAATACATATATATATATACACACATATTATAAGTTACTCTATATAAGTTATAACCCTAATGCATAGTAGCAGTGTCTCCACATCCGCAAGTTCACAACATAGGGGTCGGCGCATCTTACCCAAAAACCAAACTCTCGGTCCACTTAGGCAGTTGAGATCGATGATTAATTTGAATCTCTGGTAAGATCTCTTGATTCTCTTCAAGTTTTTCCTGCGTACTTGAGGTTTGGGTGACCTGCGCAACACAAGTTAGAGAGAAGATCTGGGTTTTGTTAATAGAGAAATGTGAGGAGAAAGAGGGTTATGGTGGTGAATAGTGGTGGGTTTGTCTTCTGACGAAGGAGTAGAGTAGGAGAGAGATTGGTAAGAAGAAAATCCATTTTTTTTAGTCGATTAGTTGTTGTCTAAACTCAATTTACCATTTCACAATTCATGAGAGAGGGTAGGCGGGGCGGGCACGGGTATTGTCATCTCCCAACGGGGCGGGGATGGACTTGATAATTCAACCCGTCCCGGGGCACGGGGCGAGTATGGATTTGTCACTAAACAGACGGGGCGGGGACGGGTTTAGCCAAACCCGCTCCAAACTCGCCCCGTTGTCATCCCTAACTGTATTAGCCTCTTATTTCCCAAAAAGAGATCAAAGGTTCAAATCTCAGAAGAAACGTGTGTGTGTGAGTACCAACTAAAAAAAAATATACATATCTAAAATAAAATATTTTGTCCAAACAAATGGAGTTATAGAATTCAAAATCCAAAACCAAAAGGAAAACATGTTCCTCTTCCCTCGTAAAATCTTTGTCTACCAAAACCTACCTTTAAAATATTTGTTGAAGTTCTTCTAGTTCTTAAAATATATTAAAATATTTTACACTTTAATTGTTATGCGGTAGCCTCCTGTCGCATTAAGATTCGAATACCTACAACACCAAGACTCAGACGCAACAGCCATTGGCGCGACAGTAATAAAATTCATCATTTAGAGCAACAACCCCGTTGCAAGGCACTCTTTCCATTCCACACTTTATGTAAAGTGTACAGTCACGTCATCAACTCTATTTATATGAGAAAGTACCTTGATTTGAAATGGTCACCACCAGGATCCACAAGACAGGATAGTGAGTATGCCAAGAGCAATGATGTGAATGAGCTGTTTGTTTGGCCTTGGAGGGGAATTGTAGCTAACATTCCCGTTGAGTGGAAGGATGGAAGGTACATTGGGGGAAGAAGGATGTTATTGAATTATTTAAAAGTTTTCTCTTTTCCTTTCCTCTTCATCCTTTTTCCCATCTCTCACGGCAGCTAGCTAGCAATGAGTGCTCACTGTAGTGATCAACAAACAAAACAATAAACTAAGAAAGCATAGGGAACTTGTGCATGAACTTGCCTGGCGACTACTTCCTACTTCTCTATACTCTGCTAAGTGCATTATACCTGAAAATGCATATTTGCTTAAATTTAAGAATAAGAAAAAAGCATGCAATGAGTGCCTGATGAGAATTTAATTTATGCAAAAGATGCCATCTTTAATGAGGCAGCCGTTCAGGTAATTGGGATTTTCTGGAGATGACAGTCTCTTATGGTATGTCACAAATGCATATATTCATTGGGTTAATGGACTGTAGATATGTTCTGAGTCTTTTCTCTGTGAGATTTTTCTCAATTTCTGACGAAGCTGTCACTGACAAGGTCATAGAGATTTAGAACTCATCTGCCGCATTAGTTGCTATCACTGAATCTTCATATCTGTGACTTTAAACTTTGAAAGATTTTCAGTTTTGCTGCTTATGTCAGCACTCAGCACCTTATGTGAAAGAACATTTGCAAGGTTGGAAATTGGAACCGTTGATATGAATTCTATAAACTATAAAGTGGCTTGCAAAGCTATTTAAAAAGTTCTAACACCTTTTCACGATTTGAATTTACCGGTACTGATTCATAAGGTGTCTTTCCCAAAAGACAATGGTGTTAACATCTTAACTAATTATGAATCTTTAACCATGATGTAGTTCATAAAATGGAAAAGAAAGGTAAATGTGTTTTGTTGTTCTTAATTTGCATATGCTGAAAAAAGAGAATCATTTAAAAAAAAAAGCGTGTGAGATACCTTCTGTTATGTGGCTTACGAGTTATTTCCTTCCCTGGCAGTTCTTCAAGGACCAGTCTTCCCGTGCATCTATTGGTGTCAAAACGGATGGGAGAGCTTGACAGTGCTGCATTCCAACATTCAACCAAGAGAAAACACTCTAAACAAGAGGCAGCACAGGAAAAGGCTTTGGAGCTTTGTTCATTGTGTTAGGATTACCTAAGGGATCCGAACTGGCATCCATTTAAGATCATCACAGTTGAAGGCTGTGAGGACCATAAGGTATGTGTTTCTGAGTAACATTTGCAATTATTATTTTTAATTACCGTAATATTTCCCTCTTCAACATGCTTATGCATTTGAAGTAGCATTGTTGGTAGCCAATTTTCCCTCTGCAGCTGCACACTTGATAAAACATTGGATATTTTAAAATTTAAATTTATTTGATCATTTTAATAGATATTATTAAAATTTTCAAGGATACTTTTCTTTCACTGATTACTATTTATTAAAAGATAGGAGGGATAAGAACAATAGTACATCCTTAAGTGGAATCAATATGAGATTAAGTTGCAAATTAGCAACTTGCCGTGTGTAATGGTAATTATATGGTAAAACTTGTGTGGTTGATTAGGAAATTATCAATGAAGAGGATGAAAAACTGAAAGGTCTGAAAAATGAGTGTGGTGATGAGGTATACTCTGCTATGACAAGTGCCCTGATGGAGATGAATGAGTATAACCCCAGTGGAAGGTACACGGTACCAGGCTATGGAATTTCAAACAAGGAAAGAAAGCAACATTGAGGGAAGTACTCTCTTATATTCTGAAGCAGTGGAAAATGCACAAGAGGAGGAAGAACTAGAGGTTGGTAATATGTTTATTATATCTAGAAAAATCTCTGTTATGAGGAGAACTTACTTTTTATTTTTTTTTATATTTTTATCATTAATATTTGATATTTAATGTTATGTGGATAAACCTTTTCTCTCTCTCTAATCTCTACTACATAGTGTCAGTAATGTTTAAATTGCATTTCATGGTGACACAATTACTAATTTATAATTATATTAGTGGATATCCAAAATAATTATTTCCTTGTTGGGACCTCATTTTTGTTGCATCCCTTCTCTGCAGGATATCAGTAGCTGGCTTTTTTGGACATGGAGGTGGCATCTTTTGTTGGGCTTTGGGAGCAACTTCAATTTATCTGAAGTAATTTTTTTTAATTAAAATTTAAGCCCTCATCTTTTTGTTGGGCTTTGGGAGTAATTTTTTTTTTTTTTTTTTTTTGTCAGTTGGATTAGTAGAAGAACATACAATATATAGTTTAAGCACTCGTTTGATTGATAATTTTATGAAAATTGTTATCTAAAAATAGAGTTAATAAAATTCAACTTTAGAAAATGTGTTTTTATAGTTCTCTTAAACCAGTTCTGTTTACAAAAATTTGAACCATATAGACAGTAAGAATCGTATATATATGTTAAGGATCCAACTAGATTTCATGAATCACATCAAAACCAAAAGTTATGTTTGTATGGAGTTAAATTAAATATTCTATTTTAAATTTTAAAAAATAATTTGATTAGTTGCTAAACATAAGCAAAGATCATACTTAGATTGTTTAAAGTTAATCATCCGTTAATCATACCAATCACACTGGCCAGAGCTCATGTCACTATAAAGTCCATCAATTTATTCAGAGAGTTGACAAATTATAAAATCTTTATACTCTCTTTGTTTGGATATAAAATATGTTTTAAAATATATATTTTTATATTTTTTGGTGTTTGATTATCATAAAAAATTTATGAAAAAATATATATTACCGAGCAAAATTTAATAAAAGTAATTTATTCATAAATTTTGGTCAAGTTACCTCAATCTCAATATTGACTTTTGTCATATATAAAAAAATAATTATTTTACTTAAAAATTGAAAAAAATACTTTTCACCTAAACAAATGGCCGTAGTGTAAGATCAAACAAACCATTTTAGACAAAACATTGCCCTTAACATACACACATGTGAGATTTTTTTCGTTACGACATAATGAAAATTAGATTGGCTCACGAGCTAGGAGTACAATTATCTTTTTTTACACAAGTACTTATAAAAGAGAATTGTACAGAGCCGTTGGCACAAATAAACCCAAGCACTTATATCAAAAAATAATAAAAAATAATTATTTTACCTAAAAATCGAAAAAAAATATTTTATACCGAAACAAATGGCCTGTAAGATCAAACAAACTATTTTAGACAAAACATTGCTCCTACATACACACGTGCGATTTTACATAAAGAAAATTAGATTGACTCACGAGCTAGGAGTACAATTGTCTTTTTACACAAGCACTTATAAACAGTGTCTTGCTTTTTTTTTTTTTTTTTTTTTTTCTCTCCAAATGTGAAGCTAATATACAAATTAAAAGAGAATTGTACAGAGATGGCCTTCGGCCCAAACAAACCCAAGCAAGTTGGGGAACAAGAAAGCCCAAACAAATGAGATGCAACAATTTAATGGCCCAAGGCCCAGAACCGAGACAAACGAAAGACCAATCTTGCTTGCTCGTTTATATAGTCCACAATTAGTTCTAGCTTAATTTAGAGGCACTTTTGCATTTGATTAGCTGTTCCGGGCCATCCGATTCAACTAATCAGGAAATAAGAACGTTGAAAAAAAAAAAAAAAAGGTTATAGCCGTTTTTCTGACCGATGGGAAAGTGACTGGCCAACCTTCGTGTCCCCGTTTGTTAATGACAATAGAGGTGGGGTAAACTATTAATTGTTTGAATCACTCCTCGATATAAGTGGGCTATATATATCGATATACGAGTGGCTCTTCTCTTCAACTATTACTTTCTATGTGGCGTTAGGGTTTCTCCGAAAGACGCTTTAACCTAGATCGGCAATTAGCCCAACTCTCTCTGTCTCTCTCTCACACACACAATCAAACACACACCCACACTCTCACTCTCACTCTCACTCTCACAATCAAACGAACACAGAAGAAAGTGTTTTCGTTGTTTCAATTTGTATGTGCTTTTACTGAATGGAAGGAAATCAATTGATGAGAAAAAAAACTGCAACAATATGATTGGTTAGTTCCATGATTCGTAGTATTTAAGTCTCTGATGATTTCTATTTTTTTTATAACTCTCATTGTTTGCTTTCTTCGGTAGGTTTTTTGTTTTTTTTTTTTTAAATTTCCTTCTATGTATTAAATTATTTTTTCCAATCAATGGATTTACAATTTCTGAATCCATGAATCACAATAGAAATTACTGGAGATATGATGAGCAATCAATTGGTCCGTGTTTCTGAATTAATCGTGACCGACAAATCTAAACCAAACTCTGATCTCCATTTGTTTGTGGTGAGTTTCTCGTCCTTATGTTGTGGTTTAGTGTTGTTTGTTCTTCAATCTGGTTTGTTGGGATTTTTTTTGGTTTGGTGTTTAAATCAGTAATGTTGTTTTGTTGTTCAATCTGATGGTTTAATGGGTTGTTAGTTTAAGGATTTTTGTAATTGGTCAATGAATCATGGGTATGTGTTAAACCCTAGCATTCTTGACATAAAACACTTTCTACTAAGGGGCTACCCTTCTCTCTCTTGTGTGGAAGTTCTATTTTGACTTGGTTCTGTATTTAGAAGGCATTTTAACTTAATTTCTCCATTTTTTTTTTTTTACCATCTTTAGCTCCATACCTTGCTGCAAATGTTGTGCCGTCAATGCGGAAAGCCTAATTGATAAAAGAGAATCAATTTTTCCAATTAGATAATTGACTATTGGACATTATAGTACAAATCTCTAAAACTTTCCCAAAAAGCCTGATTGATAAAAGAGAATCAATTTTCCAATTAGATAATTGACTTAGAGTACAAATCTCTAAAACTCTGGCAAGTTTTTTTTGGTGGTGGTGTATTTGGGATTTATTATTATTATTATTTTTTTCTGTCATTTTAGGTGTAATTTATGGTTTAATGAAATAGGCGTGTAATTACATTTGACAATAAATCACTCGGTAAATCAAAATTTAAATTTTTTGTCAATTAATTATGTTTCTACTATTAATAAAATAGGCTAGAACAATGGAGGCTTCTTTAATCACCTTGTCTGAAATGCTTTGTCTGCCAACATAGGTATCAGGCCCGCAGGGCTCGTGTCGTGCCACATGATCACCAAACTAAAACCTATGTTGGCAGAAGCATTTCAGACGATGCCTTACCAAAGTGATTAGAGCAGCCTTTATTGTTCTAGCCTATTTCATTAACGGTAGAAATATAATTAATTCACAAAAAATTTAAATTTTGATTTACTGAATGATTTATTGTAAAATGTAATTACACTTGAATTTAATAGAGAAATTTAATAGAGAGAGAAATCAATTTCCATCCAAGAGAGAGAGGGAGGTATACACCTAGGAATCAACAACACAAAAACTTTGTTATAAATGACCCCTTTCCTTATTGGGCTCGGGACTAACAAGAATGGTTGGGACAACAAACATCCATCTCGTTCGTACTTTGGATACCCGTATAACCATCGAAGACTGTTGAAGTGACTAATTCCTAGAAATTAGGAGGCGTTGAGAACAAAGAAATTGTTGGAGTTATCATTTCGATCTAGTACCAACACGTTTGATGTTAATAAAAGATCTCTTGCAGGAAGGTTGGCTAGAGATTTCTTGTAAAAACACTAGCCCTGCTCAGTTCATAATGATAATATTTTCATCTTTTTTGATTCCAGGGAGGAGCCGTATGAGATGAAAATCTCACGTGCGGTTCTGGAACGGAGATTCTTCGAATCGAATGACGACCGTAACGGATGTCAGCACAATCCGAAGGAAATTATGCGGAAGCTTTACAGAATTATTATGAAGCTATGCGACTAGAAATTGATCCCTATGATCGAAGTTATATACTCTATAACATAGGCCTTATCCACACAAGTAATGGAGAACATACGAAAGCGTTGGAATATTATTTTCGAGCACTAGAACGAAATCCATTCTTACCACAAGCTTTTAATAATATGGCCGTGATCTGTCATTACGTGCGACTATCTTCACTATAGAAAGAAAAAAAGGGAAAGAAAGACCAAATCCGCTAGTAAATACTAGAAAAAAAAAAGAAATAGGCTTGCTACATATGTATCGTCCAAAACAACGATTGTTCTAGCCTATTTCATTAACGGTAGAAATATAATTAATTCACAAAAAATTTAAATTTTGATTTACTGAATGATTTATTGTAAAATGTAATTACACTTGAATTTAATAGAGAAATTTAATAGAGAGAGAAATCAATTTCCACCCAAGAGAGAGAGGGAGGTAGCCCCTTAGTAGTAAGCTGCAGCAGTGAGCCACGTATTATGTCAAGAATGCTAGTTAAGACATACCCAAATTATTATGAAAGCCATGAACAAATCCATTAAACAATCAGATTGAACAACAAAACAACAGTACTCAATTCTTAAAACACAAAAAACAAGGCTTAAAATTCCCAAATACAAGCGAAGTCCCACGAACAAAAAACTATCAAATTGAACAAACAAAACAATAGTACCAACTCTTAAAACACAACAAAACAAGGCTTTAATTACACACCTATAGTGACAAAAAAAAAAAAAAAAAAAAAAAAAATCCCAAATACACAACCAACAAAAAAAAAACTTGCGAAAGTTTTAGAGATTTCCAATGTCCAATAGTCAATTATCTAATTGGAAAAATTGATTCTCTTTTTGTTAATCGCATTGACGGCACAACATTTGCAAAGTCTGCAAATAAATAAATGAAGAATTAAGTTAAAATGCCTTCTGGGGTGCGTTTGCAAAGTCTGTATTTAAACCCAACAAATACACAGACCAAACAAAAAAAAAAATTCCAAATACAGAAGCGAGAGAGAATTATGTAGCAGTGACCCCCGACTCCCGTTTTGTGTCTCTTACTTTTCCTTTTCGAAACACTGTGAATCCCGTTGTATGAGTAGCGACGGCCTAGAAAATTATGTCGGGGGCAATTTGAAAATGTTATAGGAATATAGGTCAAAAAAATAAAAATAATTGGGTATAAAATACAAAAAAAATAGAAAATTTCAGTGAGTCAATTACCCGCACTGTGCCTACTATAGATCCGTGCATGATCATGACTATGTCTGTTTGTGTGGGATTAAAATTGGATTAAAATTGCATTGTAATCCCACAAATTCAATTCCAAATCTATTGTTTGGATAAACTTCCGATTGAATTCCCATACCAATTTTATTGTCTGGATAAATTCTGATTTGGAATTCAATTAAAAATGATTAGACATACACAATCTTTATAAAATTAACATATATACGCATATGAATATATAAATAAAAATATTTGTATATGATTTAGTTTCCATGTCTAGAGACGAGGATGTGGCTATCAAGACGAAAGAATAATGAGAAGAAAAAAAAAAAAAAAAATATATATATATATATATATATAGTAAACAACCAATAGTAAATAAAAAAGATCAAATCAAACAAAGCCCCTATATATATGGACCAATAAGCTGACCCCAGAACCAATGAACAAACAGAGCCCAAAATCTAATTGTTGCCACTGAAAACATATAGACATTGATAACAGCCATCAATGACTGTCGGAGACAATCCGGTGAACGATGGCGGTCAGACCACAAAGGAAGAGAAAAAGCAACAGAAAAACTCAGGTTCGGCTAACCCAAAGTTCTCACCGAGAAAAACCTCAATTTAGTTTCCTCTACTCCGTTCTCACCAAACAAACAGCTAAAACTATCAATGCAAAGAAAAACCCTAGTTTAGAGAAAGCAATTTACCTTATCTGTTGTTACAGAGTCGAACACATAGATCTGATGAGTTGGTTTGCGCTGTCAAGATCAAGGCCGCCCTACGGCGTCTATTCCGCTGCCAACACCGCCGTCGTGAGCTTAGTACTGAACATGAGGGCTGTCGATGAAGTTGCCACCGGCATTTGGCCTCGTCTTGGTTGCCGCCGGCAAACAAGTTGTGGAGGTTGAGGGCTGAGAGTGATCGTAAATTGATGGTTCGTTGGTATCCAGATGGAGTTGTGACGTTTTGATGGGTGGAACAATCACATAATTCAACTTCAAAATTATGCTGATGAAGGGAAAAAAAAAAAACAAAAAAAATGACATTAGATGGTCACAAAGCAAAAGCTAGTGTTAATTTCTCACCATATCATTGATTAATGACAAAAAGGAAATGGCAGTTTTACCAATTCATCATGTTTGGAAAGAAAGAAAGAATGAAAGAAAAGTTAGTTTTGGAAGAAAAATATATATATATAGGTAAGAAGTGATAAAATAAAAAATTGTAAAATTATCACTTTAGTTTGAAATATATATATATTCAAACTAAAGTGATAATTTAAAATAAAGAAAGGGTTAAAAGAGAATTAAAAACATGTACTAATGAGACTCATATGTTATTTTATTTTTATCTTTTATAAAATAAAGGCAAAATTAATATTATTATTATTTTTTTATTAAACCTTGTAACCTCTTCATTCCATTTCTTCCAATTACCGGAAGGAAAATAAAATCTACTCATCATGATATTTTTCTTCCATTTTCTTTCTTACCGAGCACAATATGTCATTTCCCTTCATTACTATTTTTATTTTATTTTATTATTATTATTAATTTTTTTTTATGCCTTCAACCAAACTTGTAAGTGATACACATGTACAAAATACAATTTTTATAAATTCAAATTATGAAAATAATTTAAGGTTGGACAAATTTAAAAGGATCACCGTAAGTAAGAGTGTGAACCTATTATTATCGAACTCTTTATCGCTGGATCACTGGATGCTTTTTGTAACCTAGCACTCCTCTCGATTACAATAGTCATTAAAAATGTTAATTTTAATCAATTTTGAAAAAAAAATTCTCAACAACTAATGGGCCACATAATTTTTAAGCCCAGCTCGACGAAACTCAAAAGAATTATCATCAGCCGAACACCAAATTAACTCTATCCATCCTCAGTCAAATATACACCTAGGATAAAAATTATCCATGATTCTAATCAAGTCAATTACGTTATCAAAGGAACCTCACAAGAAAGAATCTATATGAAACAAGTATCATGTATAGAAGAAAAGCTTTATATGAAAGAATTTTATACGAAAAAATAATCTTATATAGAAGAAACCCTGAAAAAATAGTAATATCTTTTTGAAAAATGTTTTACGCCAAAACAAATGAGGAAATGCTATTTTTTTACAAGATTAAAATAAAATTTTAATTACATAACTAATGGTGTAAGTTAACATTATGCAAGAACTATATGTATAGTTTTCATTATGCAAGAACTATATGTATAGTT